AACGGTGATACCGTTATTACCAGTGTTGTCACTCGTCGATTAACCGGTGGGAAAATTTCCTCACCGTTACAACCCTATTTCCATGTCAATTTTTATTTATTTATTTAAATTTATTTCATTTATTTTCATTCATTTATTTTGCTATGGTTAAACGGATAACTTTCTCAATTCCAAGAAAAAAAAAGAAATTAATTTAGGCTTACATTTTTATTTTTTGAATGCCTAATTATGTCATAGAAATGCTTTCCATGTCAATTATTATTTATTTATTTAAAAAAAAAAAGTCTTAAATGACATTACATGAGGGGAAATTTGGATGGAACATTTAATCAATACATTTTATTAGGTCTCTTTTTGTATACTGATTAGCATACAGGTAATAAAGTATTTTGGATGCACAGGTACCACAAGTTGGGCACCGCATTTAATCCCAACACTTTGGATAAGCAGAAAGAGAGGCAAAGAGGTTTACCCAAGCAAGTTTTTGAGTCTGACGAGTTGCCAGATCACAGCAGCTATCAAGATGATCAGGTAAACTTGTCTTTGCTACTGTTGCGTGTTATGTAAAGTTTTTTTTTTCTTTCTTAAGCCCAGAAGAATAATTGCACAATATCCCTATGAGTTTCTTTTTGAATTCACTGAATATAAACACTGACTTTTGCATGTCACAGGATGATCTGAAGCGAAGGTCCATGTCAATTGATGACACTCCACGTGGCAGCTGGGCTTGCAGTATATTTGACCTGAAGAACTCTCAGCCTGATGCTCTGCTGCCTCACCTTCTGGATCGAGTACCCAACGAAGAAATCGACCGCCACAATGAGGACCAGCGCAAGTCAAACCGCCATCGAGAGCTCTTCGCACTGCATCCTGCTTTGGATGAGGTAGAGCATGATATTTTGTTTCAATATTTCCAATATTGTGTCTAAAGATACGGATTACCAAAACACTTCTTGAATTCATCTTTTTTTTCTCATGTAGGATGAACCCATCGAGCGCCACTGTGTGCCTGATGTTCCAAAAGAACATTTTGGTCAAAGGCTTCTTGTCAAGTGCTTGTCCTTGAAGTAAGTGGGAAACAGCTTTTGTGGACTGAAATGTAACACTAATGGTTACAACGTTGCTGATATGATTCTCTTCTTCCTTTTAAGGTTTGAGATAGAAATTGAGCCAATATTTGCAAGTTTGGCCTTATATGATATCAAAGAAAAGAAAAGGGTAAGCTGTTATAATTCCCTGTGTGATGTATAAGTTAAAAGTTGTGTAAGCATATAAAATAATGAATATTAATTAATTCACTTTTAAAGTGAATTATGGTGCCATAAAAATATACACAATGGATTACATTAAACTTGCAAATCTGAAGATAATTTTCTTTTTTTTAATTTTTTTTAAATTGCATTTGTAAAAACAATTTTGATGGGATTAAATTTAGATTTTTTTTAACCCAATGGATTTCCAAAAGATACATTCAAATACAAGTTACATTTATGTGTAAAGGAAATGTCACTTAATGTTGCTAACTGGTTTCAACACTAGAGGGTAGTAGTCACCTGTTCAAAGATTTTATTAGTTCCTTAGCACTCCCTCTGACATCCTAACATTCTCCTGTCTTCATCCTCAGATATCAGAGAACTTTTACTTCGATTTGAACTCTGAGCAAACGAAGGCCATGCTGCGACCGCACATCCCATCTGCTGCTATCTCCACCCTGGCCCGCTCTGCTGTCTTTTCAATCACCTACCCTTCTCAAGACGTCTTTCTTGTTATCAAGGTTGGTTACATCATGCAGCATCATTCTTAACATTCAGATCCCTATTCATGAGCAGAATATATATTTTGTTCTTTTGAACTTTATCAATGAATCCTGGAAAAAATTTATCATGATTTCCACAAAAAAATATATATATAAAAAAAAAAAGTTAAGATTTTAAAATCAACAATAAGAAATATTTCTTGAGCATCAAATCAACATATTAGAATGAATTCTGAAGGATCATGTCACTCTGAAGACTGGATAATATAATCTATATATAATATATTTTATAATTATGTATTTATTTTTTAAACATTGCATGCATTTATGTTTTCAAGTCAATATGGCATTAATGGATTTATGAAGTGTACAGTTTTTTGTAGTTGCATGTTTGATGATCGTTGCATTGATTTTATGTTTGCACTGATGTTCGTTTATTGCTTAATTTGAGTGTTTTGAGTAGTGTTCACTAAAGCAGTGCATTGTTGCACTGTGTTTGCTTTCAGCTTGAGAAGGTGCTTCAGCAGGGAGACATTGGAGAGTGTGCAGAGCCTTACATGGTCTTTAAAGAGTCAGATGCTGCCAAAGTAAGCCATTCATAACAGTTTATACATTGTGCACCAGCTCCTAGTGGAATTCAGCCCAGCATGGTTACTGTTTTTATATTCTCTTCTCTGGTACTACAGAATAAGGAAAAGCTTGAGAAGCTACGCAGTCAGTCCGAACAGTTCTGTCAGCGACTAGGGCGTTATCGGATGCCCTTTGCCTGGACGGCCATACACCTCATGAATATAGTGAACAGTGCCGGCAGCCTAGAGAGAGACACAGAGCTGGAGATGGGGCTGTCAGGTGAGTTTTAAATGACACAGATGCTTGTGCATGTTTATCCTGTACTTGTACTTAGTTTGAAATTATTTTCCCGAACAACATTTGAATGAGTGATGAAGTGAGACTAGTCCCATATTTCATTTTGGCTCTTAATGCCATACCACAGCATTTGATCTGATCTCATACTACTAAAGTTTTAACTACTTGATTTTGCACTATTGCACAGAACGGAAAGGCTCTTGGTCTGAACGGAGGAACTCTAGTATTGTGGGACGTCGTTCGATGGAGAGAACCACCAGCGGAGATGAATCATGCAGTCTGACCAGCTTCAGACCAGCTACCCTGACAGTCACCAACTTCTTCAAACAGGTCACGCTGTTATTCAAAAAACTAAACATCCCAGTATTGATCTCGTTCATTGAAAGTTGACTGTCCTTCAGTTATCGGTCGTTGCATAGGTCAGACCGCTAAAGCTAATAAATACTCCTGCTTTTGACATTTGAATATGTTTTTTATGTTTTATTAATATGTCATATTAGGAAGGAGATCGACTAAGTGATGAAGATCTCTACAAGTTCCTAGCTGACATGAGGCGCCCATCCTCTGTGCTGCGTAGACTGAGGCCCATTACAGGTAGAGTTCTTTTGGCATGTTTATTTTGGCCATATTAACATTTATGTAGTGAGTTATGTAACTGATTTACTAAATACCCTCAGCCCAGCTGAAGATTGACATCTCACCAGCCCCCGAGAACCCTCACTATTGCCTGACACCTGATCTGCTCCAAGTGATGCCTTACCCAGATAGTCGAGTGCGGCCAACCAAAGAGATCCTGGAGTTCCCTGCCAGGGACATTTATGTGCCCAACACCACTTACAGGTATAAATGTTAAGATCAGTGATTTTCAACCTTTTTGACTCCCAACACCCACCCATTGTCCACAATAATATTCAATAAGTTACCCTATTCGCCAATATTACCCTATTCAAGTGAGACTTGAAATGTAGATGTTTGATGTGTAGCACTTTTTATTTATAGCACACATTTAAAGGGGTCATATGATGCGATTTTAATTTTTCCTTTCTCTTTGGATTGTTACAAGCTCTTGGTGCATAAAGAAGATCTGTAAAGTTGCAAAGACTAAAGTCTCAAATCCAAAGAGATATTCTTTATAAAAGTTAAGAGTCAACCACGCCTACCTAAAACGGCTCGTTCTAACACGCCCTCACATGTCTACGTCACTGTGTGGGAAGATTTGCATAACGCCGCCCAAATGTTCACGCAAACATAGAAGGCGTAACTTTTATTCTCGCTGTAGTATGGTTGCCGCCACCGCCATGTCGTGAAGACGCTGTGTGTTTTGTTGTGAAAGCGAAACTACTTTGTTTGGCCTTCCAAAAGAGGACGATATCCGCTTCGTCATGCCTAGAGCTGATCCGTGCTGGTCGCTGAGGAAATACATCAACTTC